ATACACAATCTGATTTTGCAACCTCAGGGCCAAGAAGTTGGAGCTGGACCAGAATTTGTTGGATTACTTGAGATTTTTAGGGGTTTTTCTCCACTCCTTGATTAACATTTCAGCCTAATCAAAAAATCTCAAACCTCACAATATATTTTAAATAGCAATAAACCAAGTCAGATAACTGATCTGAATGTTGAAATAATATGCAACTCAGTTCTCTTGCCAGCACCGCAGGACCTGTACCTGAGGACGAGACTTTCCCTTTCTGCAAGCTGGTTTTGTAAGTAACACTGCCACCTAGCAGTCTTCTGGCAAGTTACCATCTCATGCGCAGAAAAGGATTGCAGATGGCCACACTGTCCGTTTGTCTGGGATTCACTGCATTTGAGTTAAACTCGAATAAAACTTGAAATAGAAATACCTTTGAAAAACACCTTTTTCGCAGATACTTGTCTTGAAACCATTGTCTGGCAAATAATAGGCTATTATAAGTAATTCAGTGGAGATGAAAATGATGGCAATAAAACATAAGTACATTTGTAACTGACCCAGACCTACCTAGGTATCTTCTTAGGAAAAGTAGATCAGTACTTTTGCTGAAAGGCGGTAAAAATAGAGGGTGGGTGATCAGTTTCAGAGGACAGATTTTTGACCGGAGGACCTTTAAACTCAAGGAATCATATGTGTCCGATGGAAACCTAAGTGACATTTTGATTCGTGTCAGGAGCTTCAATCACAGACTAAGCCACAGTTGCTTCTTAAGAAAGATAAGTCAGTTCTGGAGCTCCGCTGTACAACACTGCACCTACAGTCAGCAACACTGCCTGGTGCACTTAAAAATTAAGAGGGTAGATTTCATGTTAAGTGGTCTTATCACAATAAAATAAAATAAATAAGAAAACAATAAAAATAATAAATTTTTGTGTTTTTACAAAAGTAAAAATTATCTAACACTTACTGAGTATTTTCAGTTTGCCCGAACCCCGAGCAGAGCTCTCTCCTGGCACTGTCAGGCTCCCTGCACGCTCCCTAAGAAGCTGTTACTGTTAGACGCCCTCTTGGTGCCGGAGGAACCGAGCCCTGGAGACGTACAAGGCAAGTCAGTGTTGGAGCGGGGATAAACCCGGAGGGTCTGAGTGCAGAACCCGGGCCCTTCCCTGCCAGGCCACACTGCTTTCCTGTTGCGCTGAAAGGTGTGTGGAAGCAAACAGATGTCAGATTCTCAGCAGCTTAAAACATTTGTTAACAGAATAGTTTCTGTTTTCTAGTTGAGTTGCTTTGCAGATGGAATGAAAAAAAGTTCTCAATTTGGGCAGTGACATTAGTCTTGTCTCTTATTACAGACTACTTAAAATTGTAAGATTATCCCTTTTGTCATTTTAAACACTTCCAGTCATTACCTAGTGGCTAGCTAGATTGGTAGGTGCTTGGAGCAGTTCCGCCACCCCTCTATTATAGTGACATTTCACTCTTTGATATCTTGAGAGAGAATTTCCTTGTTGTTCCTGATCTGCATGTAGCTTTCAGTGAGCACATTCGTCCTGTTCGCTTTCACGGAGGAATCTGTGCATCAGACCCTGAGGAGGTGACTTGTGCAAACATTTCTCTGAAAACAATCTGAATATACATGTGGCTCATGCTATACTAGACCAGTGTTTCTCAGAATTTAAGGTGCATTCAAATTACCTAGGAATCCTATTAAAATGCAGGACCTGAGATACTGCATTTTTAATAAGCTCTCTGGGGAAATTGATTGTACTACTTTATGGACCACAGTTTGAGTACTAAGTTCCTCAAAACTACACAGTTTTTCTTGGGTCTGGAGAAAACATCTGGTTTGATTCCAAAATCAGGGAAAAAGCTCTCCCTATAATTTTCTCATTTTTCCCTAAATTTTTCTATATCTGATCATAAAAATCAGGTTGGATATAAATCAAGTTATATGTTTTTATGTTTGCAAACAAAAGTATCTATAAATGCTATTTTAAAAATAAAATGTTTCTGTTCGGGTCCTAAATCTATTGGTTCAAAATAGTTTTCTTTTTGCCTTCCAAACTTTTGAAATTTGTACCCCTGATATAAATGAGATTACCGTGTCATACTTAAAACTTCTTGAATCATCTGGCTACCAGAGAGCTGTGCAACCTCCAGCCCCATCTTGGGGCAGGCAGGTATAAGTTTCTTTGGTCAGTATAAGCTAAATCCAGAGCTAGGGGCATTAAAATAACAAAAATAAAATTTTAGAATTGCTCTGGGATTAGCACCTTGACCCAGCAGTCCTATTTCAATAAGAGTGAATTATGGAATTTCCTAGATTTTTCAGGTGCCTTTGTCCCTATGCCCTTCCTGTTATTCTCAGCATCACTCATTTTTGCTCCAACAAGGAGATATATAGTATACATAATAGAGGCAAATGTAAAACTCCTATACTTGGGTCCCAAGATCAAATTGCAAAAGAGTATAATGCAAGAGACATAGTCAGAAATTGACCATTTTCAAAAGAAACAAAATTTTTGTTGCCTGTCAATGCAATATAAGTGACCAGAACACTGTTACTCAGTTTAGGAATGCATTAATAGAACAGTAGTGCCTAAGGCAAAAAAAAAAAAAGGTAATGGCTTCCTCTACTTTGTACTGGCAAAGCCATACTTGGGATAGTATGGTATTCAGATGTGTGTGCATCATACATGTGTGCACGTATGTTTACGTGTCAGTGAGTCAGAGAGGTATGGGGAGCCAGAAGAAAGGGCATTTATGACTAAGGAGAAACAATGAAAAAGATAAACCAAATGGTAGTTTATCTTTTTGGAGATAAGTGATGAAAAGAAGATGGTGAGCGAGCTTCACATTGTGTTATAAGTGAAAAGACATAGAGATATTTACCTCTGAAGTGTGTACATGTGGGTTTTAGAGTGGAAGTTAGTAAGACATTGATAATGGATGGGTGGGTGGGTGGATGGATGGATGGGTGGGTGGAAGGACATATAGGCATCTATTGAATTAATTCTATGTGCTAGAAACTCTGCTGAGAACAGTACATATACTAAATAATGTTATTCTCCAAACTATCCTTTAAAATTAGTATTATTCCATGTGAAAACTGGTAAATATTAGGCCTAGATAAATTAAGTGACCAGTCCAAAGTCACTGACCGGGTGACCTCATAGTTTGTGTTCTTAACCTCTAGTTTATAACCCTGTGTGGCAACCACAGAGTTCCACTGCTCAGCTCCCCCTTAGAGAAATAACATGCTGGCCAGCTGTGAGAAGTGCAGTTAGCTGACAGCCCCCAGCTGTTAACACCCTCAGAATCTGCTTTGCAGTTTTACCAGAGACCACGATGCTTCTGAGAGGCCCTGGCCGGTGGCTGAGCATGGCAGGGGCCGCAGGTCCTGGGCATCGCTGCCCATTGTGGGGCTCCTCGAACGCAGTCTTCTCGGGAGTTTCCCACTGGTTCCCGTGGACTTTATCAGAGCAGCGTTGCAGCCTGAGGCTCTCCTTGCCCACTCCTGCCTCTTCCTCCCTTTTTCTATTACAGAAGTTGAAAAACAAAACAAAACAAAAACTTTCATTGCCCCACCATCCATTCTCAGCATCCACTTCCTGTGGGACCCACCCCACATACCATATCTTCACATATTTGGAGTGCTGTCATATGAAAGAGCATTTAGAATTGTTTTCATATGGTGATAAGGGGTTAATTAGGACAAACTGACCGAACTATTAAGGAAGCAGCTTTCAGATTTTATATATACATGAATGCTTTCTAATAACTAGACCTGCCCACACAACGGAACAGGCTGCCTGAAGACCGATGAGTCCTTGCCCCTGCAGTCGTTCAGGCCAGCCAGAGAACTGTTTGTTATAAGAAGGCTGTGAGACATTATCACAGCCCCTGTGTGACACCGAAATGCCGAGGATGCTAAATATCCACAATGCTAACTGAGTAGCCAAAATCAAGTTGCTGAGAAAGCCACATCAGGAAAACCAAACCTCTGATTTTTCCGTGGGTCACCGAGTCTGGTTTCATGCACGCACACCTGCATACTCCCAGGTCAACCCAGTGGTACTCTGGGACACACCGGCCTTTGTCCACATGCTTTTCTATTTTTTCAATCAAAGAGTTCCTAGCAAGTGAGTTAAGGCAGTGGGTTGATTGTTTCCATGGGTTACCTGGTCAGATGAAAACCAAAGTGCACGTATGCTTTGTTAAACTATAATATGAGTTCAGCACCTGATGAACTTCTAATGACAACTTCCACTGACACCTGGTTCTTAAGCCCCATAAATGTATCCCAGAGCCAGAAAGATTTAATTCCTCACAGCCATCGCCTCCTTCCCTTCATCAAGACACCAGCACACCAATGAAGGGACACACACTTGCCCCCTTCCAGTATTTCCATGATAGTCATGACACAAGTAGCCATTCATGGCAGATAGTACAACAAGAGGTGAGAAAGTCTGGTAAAGAACCACCACCAAGCAACCTAGTCAGCACAGGGATCCGTGTATAAGGAGGCATTCATTAGATCTGCAAATATTTACAGGCCACCTGCCAAAGGGCAGGCTCTCTTGCAGGTGCTGGGGACACAGTGATGGGCCCGACAGAGCCCCTCGTTTCGTGGCGCGTACATTTAAATGCCTTTGAGAGAGCCTGCTGACCCCTCACTGAGAGCAGCACTCCCAGCCATCATCACTGACAGCGACCCCAGGGAGAGGGCTGTGGGGCCTCCAAACTGACGTCCTTTCCCTCTCTCCCCACCCCCAAATTCCTGCAGCATCCCTGCCACCATCTACGCCTTCAAGAAACATTTTATTATACTAACACTGCTTTGAAGCAAACTCCATAAAATTTGCAAGAGAAGTTACAAAAAACAATCTCAGCAATATTTGGGGGTTTTTAAAACTGATGATGCAGCTGACCTACTGGAGACAAAGGCAGTGGGAGGGCTCTCAGTGGGGTAAATAAATAGGAGTCTCTGTGCTGAGAACCCAGAGTTTAGACTCAGAGCTGAAGCCTGAACTCCACCTTCAGGCAGAATGAGGTTCATCGCTGGATGCCTGCTTCTCCTGCTGCTGGTCAGCAGCCTCTCTCCAGCCCATGGTGAGAACTTTCACTTATGTTGTCATTGTCTTTTGAAGAGAAATGGTTTTTAGCCATTTCAATATATTTTTTTCAATTAGAAAATGGGGGGAAATATGACTTAAGGAGGAAAAAACTGCTCACTGCTCCTGGATTTCTAAAACTAAGGTGCTAAGAATTCAACTCTTGGAAGCATTTATATTGTTATGATTGCTAGCCATAGAAAGGAGGATACCGGATGCCCAATGTCCATGTCACCTATTCTTGGTTTGTCTGTCCCTGGCCCTTTTCAGTTTCAGCTCTGCTATCACTAATTCTTTCCATGTACGTCTTCTTTCTTCTGCCTGTCAGTGCTACTCCTCTGACCAAACCCTTGATAGGAGTTAAAGTTTATCGACTTCAGCGGGTTGGCCCAGCAGGGAGCATCTGATGCAATTCTGTACGTTAGCTTTGGCCTGAACCATTGTAAGGCCAACAGGAGCACTTAAGTACAAGCTCTCTGCACAGCAGCCCATTTCCAAGTCTAACTGGGAGGCGGCCTTTGTGTAAATAGGTAAGTTCTGGTTGAAGTTTCTAGTGGTAAATTTCTATGCACTGGAGGAACCAGACGCGTGTGCAGAATGATACACTTGGCTTGGGTTTAGAGGACACATTTCTGTTCTTAAAATGCAGGATTTTTCCCCCCCAATTATTATTTTGCTTCACATGTTATTTTCATTCTTCAAGACCCTCTTCTCTTTCCTCCTCCATCGGGCTTTTCCATTGCTCCGGGCAAAGCGCTCTGTTCCCATTATGAGTTTGAACCTTGGGTGACATACAACATTCTGTGGTATTTTAGTTTTTGCTCATTTGTTTCCTCCAGTAAATTGGAAACACCTTGAGAGCTGGGTCTCTTATATTTGCAAATACATGTCAAGCATGGTGGTAGGCACTGGGATTAAAAAGGGAAAAATTCATTAAAATACCTGAGATGGGTTACTAATACTACTTGTCTAGTACCAACTTGTTGTTGGATAAAAATGGGGTTGAATTTTTATTATTGGCCTTTGTTTGGAAATGATTTGCAACTGAGATGGAGAACCAATGTATTAAACAAACACCAAAAATACCTTCTATGGTTATTTCCTCAAACAGAGGTTGACAAGTGGGGGGCGTTGAATCTGATAAGAGGGAGAACTGTCACTGCTTGTTACTGCTTCAGGGACTCTCCGATGAGTTCTTGTCCTCAATTTCTGTGTTAGGAGTGAAGGTCAGTTGGTTTTCTACTGCACTGATTAAAACTGAGTTGTAAGTCCCCATTGTTGTGGCTCTCAAATTATTTGGACAATGACCTGATTGCCAATATAATTCTACCACAAACTTCAATAGGTGTTGTGTTTTAAAAAAGCTAATTTTATTTTTCAGATTTTGGTAGGAAGTGTTTTAAAATAAGTCAAGGCAAGCAGAAACACACACTAAAGGAACATGGGTTGAAGCACCAACTAGAAATTTTTAAGTCTTCAACTGCACTGTATGAGCGATTAGTAGTTAAGTTCTAGTTATGAATTATATGCCAAAGGGATGTAAATAACTGATTCTGTGTTTACAGGTGTCCTGGAGGCCAACAACGTATACTTAAGGTGTAGATGCACCAAAACGGCCTCCTTGCCAATCAGCCTCAAGTTTATTGCCCGGGTTTCAGTTTTCCCTCCTTCGAGTGGTTGCTCGGTCCTGGAAGTCATGTAAGTCACAGACACATGGGACTCCTCTCTCCCAGGGAGAACCAGGTCATATCTTGCTACATAGTATTTAACAGTTTTTAAATTTTTCAGTTATAGCTGACATTCAGTATTGTATCGGTTCCAGGCATATAGGTAACGGTTAGACGTTCGTATAATTTATGAAGCGATCCCCCCAGTAAGTCTCGTTATCTACCTGATTCCAAGTATTCCAAGCATAGGTCCTACAATATTATTCACTATATTCCCCCTGCTGTGCTTTACATCCCATGACTGTTTCGGAACTGCCAATGTGTACTTCTCAATCCCTTCACTTTGTCACTCAGCGCCCCAGCCCCCCCCGCCCAGGTCCCCTCTGGCAACCATCGGTTTGTTCTCTGAATCTATGAGTTTGTTTAGGGTTTTTGTCTGTTTGTTTTTTAGATTTCACGTGTAAGTGAAGCTACATGGTATTTGCCTTTCTCTGTCTGACTTATTTAACTTAGCATAACACCCTCTAGGTCCACCCATGTTGTCACAAATGGTAGGCCACATAGTATTCTTACCCAAGAGTCTCGAAGTGATGAACTCTGAGGGTCACTGACAACTCTCAAGCTAATCATGAGAATCAGCAGGATTTGTTCAGTTGCGTATCGTGCAGTGGCCCTGAACTAAGTGCTTGACATACATTTACTCATTTCACTCCTTAGCCCTATTAAAGTATGTCTGTTGTTACCATTTCTTTGCAGATGCAGAAATGGAGCCTTAGGGAGGTTAACTGACTGCCCTAGGCACACCATTCCAAAGGGCCAGGGCCAGGGCCCTACTCACATTCCCCCCATTCCCAAACTCCTTCTCGAGTCCACAAAATTCGAATTGCCAGCAGAAACTTGGTTTCCTACCAAATCAAGGAGCAAGAAAAGAAATATCTACAACAGTCCTTTGTCTGAAGGTCTGGTTTATGGAAATGTCCTTTAGCTTTTGGTTCTATCAACTTTGATCCCATACCTCTGAATAAAGAGTTAGGCTAAGGGGACAGTAGTGGCTGCAAGAAGTTTAATAGATATTTTCTTTTATTGAAATGGAATGACCCCTTGCTTCTGGGACCCTCCCTTTTTTGTAATCCCTGAGAAATCTGTGGATACTTCTACCACAGCATTTTTCACGGCACATCAAATGAGACGTTGCACATTGCATGTAAAGCCCCTGCCACAGTGTCTGGCCCAGTAGTAAATGTTAGCTGCAATTATTATAGCATCATTGTGTTGAGACAATCAAGTTTTATCCCCCCTCTTTCACTCCTGCCAGAAAACAAGTTCTTTATAGACAGGAATCAGATATTATTCATCCCTCCATTTCCAATGCTTTATCCCTTACCTGGTATGTAGTAGTTGCTCAATAAATATTGGATTGTTACATTGAGTATTTTAAATGGAGCCTGTAGATCATTTTGCATATCACTACTTAGAACTTTGGTTTCTCCTTCTTGAATCTATCTTTAATGAACCAAGAACCCACAGCACCTTGAAGTATGAGGCACAGCATCTTTCTAGGGCTTTGCTGACTTTGTTTCATTAGAAGCTCTTCCTTTAGACTTCTTTAGATTTTTGAAATGTTTATAAACAACTCACTTTTTGTTTGTCCCATTTTGATATCAATGCTTTGGGCCTCAGACTAATTATATTCAACTTGTAAAAAAGAAATACATAATATCAAAAATGTGTATAAAATTTTTCATTAAAAAGGCATTATACTGCCCGGCTGACATGGCTCAGTGGTTGAGCCACTTATGAACCAGGAGGTCACGGTTTGATTCCCGGTCAGGGCACATGCCCGGGTTTCAGGCTCGGTCCCCAGTAGGGGGTGTGCAGGAGGCAGCCGATCAATGACTCTTTCATCATTGATGTTTCTATCTCTCTCTCCCTCTTCCTTCCTCTCTGAAATCAATAAAAATATATTTTTTTAAAAAGGCATTATACTTTCACAATGGTGCTTGCCAATTGGTGTGAACAACAACCATTGTCCTCAAACTCAGAGCTCTGAAGTCTAGCCAGGACCTGTTTGGGAGCAGTTCCTCTGGTGTGCAGAAAACTGAGACTTCTTTCTTTTTATTCCATTTCCTCTGCCATGAGTCAAGGCTCTCACCTCTCTGTCAGGGAAAGTAATGCACTGTAATTTCCTCAGCTTTAACTTCAATCGTTCTGAAGCGACAAAAATTTAATTCCATATCTTCTCACCAAATTCTCCATTACTAAATTATAACCAGATATTGAAACAAAAGATGCAGATTATTGTAAGAAACTGGTTTTCCATCATGAACTCAGAAACCAAATTAGAAGCCTCTGTCCAAGAACCCAACTGTTCTATGATCTCTGACCTCTTATGATTTACTTAACAAGGGTGGAGTTTTAAAGCTAGATGGATAGATCCTCACTATTTGTCATTTTATAGCTAAGATAAACGACACATCAAGGAATTGTGTTTTGTTTGAGGTCACACCAATGAAGAGTAGATTTTCCCAGTGTGCTATCACCTGGGAGACCTCACTTCTTCCACTGCGGGTAAAACATGCAACGCAGTGTCTGCCACTTGGAGACCATTCAGATTATGTCCATATAAAGTTGTGGCAACAAGTGTGGGTTCTAGAGTCAGATAACCTTCATTTGAACCCTGCTCTCTCGTGTATTTATCGTGCAATCTTGGAAAAGTTATATAATAAACTCACTAAACCTCAAGTTCCTCACCTGAAGGTGAGGATATAATTGTTCCTCTTGCACAGAATTTTTATTAGATTAATTGAGACACTTCACTTTACCTGCTGAGCATAATGCCTGGCACATTGTCAGTGCTTGCTCAATATCAGCTATTAATTATCTTTGCTGCTTTTGTTATCACTTAATTTCCTAGAGCAGTGAAAGCCTTACTAACTGGTGGTTCAACCCAAAAATGCAGCTGTCGCTCAGAGCAATCAGCTCTGTAACTTCCCCCACGTTAAAACATTGATTTTTTTTTTTCCAAATAAAAGGTTCTCAAGAGAGTGCGCTTTATAGTCTATTTTGTTTTCCCAAGCTCAATGGTCACAAACATTTAAAAGATTTTATGATATGGCTTTAGAAGTGAGCCAACCTTAGAGTCAGCTATTTGGCCTGTCTCCAACTCACATAAAAGTTGTCAACAGAACATTAACCTCTGACTTAGGAGGTTCTGCCAGCTTTGTAGTCAGTTCCACCAGCTCACACATACACGTCTGCAAATGGTATTTTCATTATTCCTCAGACCTCAGGCTACTAATCACCTACTCCAGATCCCAAACTGCCTACCCTCGGTTCTGCTTCCTGTGGGAATAATTATTTTTATATTCAAGTCTTAAGTGCAGGATTGACTAAAATGTAACACTGCTTTATTTTTATTTTTGTTTCTTTTCTCCCAGAATCTGGTTGAAGAATAAGTCTGCTCTTTGCCTGAATCCTAAACTCCCATGGACACAACATCTGCTGGAAAATATACATAAGTAAGTCAGGCATTCAGAGGGCTTTCAGGTTCTGATTTGCACTGAAGGGTCCCCTCCCTGGCGGCCCAGCAGGCGCGGCTCAGCGGTTGAGCGTCGCCCTATGAACCAGGGGATCACGGTTGACTCCCCATCAGGGCACATGCCCGGGCTCCGGCTCTGTCCTCGGTAGGGGGCGTGCAGGAGGCAGCCCATGCATGACTGACTCTCTCTTATCGTGGATGTTTCTGTCTCTCTCTCCATCTCCTTTCCTCTCCCTGAAATCAACAAAAACAGATTTTTAAAAAAATGTGTGCCATTTTAAACTTATGAGAAGTTCCTAAGACAAATGTCAATTCTCCTTTATTCTTACTTATCAGATGGGGTTGGGGTGACTCATTCTAGCAGCTCAATAAACTAAACTGGAAGCCAGTATCCACAATATTCCTTGCTTGATGTCTCCAGGGGAAAGCCACAGTTTCTGGCCTTTCTCCAAACATGACTGTCTTCTTTATGTTTTTGTTTAGCCTTGTCAAAAATTCTCAGTTACCAGCTCCAGTCAAGACAAAGAAGACCTGATGCCAATGTCCCCAGGAAGGACACCTGCATTCCTCCTCATTCCTGCTCTGGATTTAGTTTTATGGTCGGTTGAGATCCCCCCCCCCCCTAAAGAGCGTCCCCATTCAAGCAAGCATGAAAATACATGTAAAAATCACCCTTCAGAGGCTGATAGGGCAAACTGGAACTTTTTAAAAATAAAGTATCCTACATACCTGGAGTTGGTATTCTTATTCACCAGGGGGGAAAGTTCCATGTAAGCATCTTTTGATAATATACCTATTGTTTAATGTTAAATTTTCCTAGAAAAATAAAGGAATGAGAACTTAAACCTCAAATCTGACCCTCTGGCTTGAATTAAGAAGGAAATGATGGAGTGCATTTCAATCATTTTACTCCCAAAGAAAAAGTAGCTTCCATAAGAGACTAAAAAAAGCTGCCTGGGAAACCACGAAACCTCAGCCTGACAGGAGACGGGGGTCCACAGCTTCCATTCACAAGGGCATTATTAAGAGGAATGGGGTCCTTTTTTCTACTTTTATAAGTATTATTGCTTCAGGTAAAAACTAATGACATTCAAAGATCCCCAGGCTTAAATTCATAGAATATTCAGGACAGGCATTTATAGGGTGATATTCAGATGTATTCTTTTATATGTTTGCTTTGACACACTTTTTACTCATGTCTTTTGCACAGACTTGCTGTTGTTGGTTTCTGGTATCCAAGCCTATAATGCTTCTTATTAATCTAATGCTATTCAATGAACTTGAGCAAACATTTTACTTAATTATAAGCAATTCGTTCTTAATGGAGCATTTCCTCAAATTTAGACATTCTTGGAATCATCATGATGCAAAGGAGAATTTTATCATGCTCATTTTTATTTGCATGCTTCTTACCTCTTACAGATTATCTAAATTCTATGGCAAAGGGTGAGTGAAGTTATTCCTGGTATTGACACAGTGGGACAATGCTTGACTCTGAGAGCCCCCTTCCCTTGATATATTCAATGTGATTTCCTCCAGAAACTGCCAATCTCTTACTAAAATCCATTTTCACTGTCTCATGATATTGATTCTTAAAGTCTTCAGTTCCATTTGAAAATGTTTTGCATCGGGTTTGACAAACAGAAGTGGCTGATGCGTAACCTCCCCTCCCGTCCCTCCCCTGCTGCAGCCCAGCTCTCGCCCGTGCTGAATTCAGCTGGGTCGGCACCCCTCCCTCTCCCTCCTGCTTTTGGGGTTGGGGGACTCTCTGGCAACACAACCAGCTTTCAAGTTACAGCTGACTCCACTTTCATTTTTCTCTTTTTATTTAAATAATTTTCTGGGGAGGAAGTAAAAAGCATCAATAAATACGGAGTCGGGCAAAAGTAGGTTTAAACTTGTTAGGGTGGAAAATATTACAATAATTAATAAATAATAATACAAGAATAAACTGTGTTTTGTGTACTCACAGCTGTAAACCTACTTTTGCCACCCCCTGTGCTACGTTTTCTGTTGTCTACAATTCAACTTTTCTTTATTACAAACACACACACACATAAAGGATTGTAAAATGTCACCCAAATCCTGCATTCTTAGCATTTTTCAGACTTCAATATTTAGGGATCAGGAATCATTTCATTCTTCAGTTTGATTTTGGTCTTCTTGGAGATATGCAGCTAGACAAACATTCAGGAGCCTCAAATAAAAAATGTTGCCTTTTCATATGAGGTACTATTATCACTGTGATCTTACAGATGTAGAAGCCGAGACACAGAGGGGTTAAGTAACTTACTCAAGGCCTTACAGCTACTCAATGGCAAGGAAGCCAGAACTTGAACCCAGTCAGTCTGGCACCAGAACTCTGTTTCTAACCGCCCCACTCTGCTGACTCTGTATGGGACAGCTGTCAGCTCCACTTCACAGAAGCAGAAATGGAGGCAGATAGACCTTCACTTGCTCCAAAGCATGTAACTAATGAGGCAAAACCACAATTCAAACCCAGAGCCACCTGACTCCTAAGTTAATATTTTTAATCATAACACTACTCTGCCTACATTTTTCTTACCCCTAAATGTGTTTCTTACCACAGCCCCTTGGCTCACCCTCCTTTTCAGGGCCAATCAAAGCCAGGGGAAGGGTGGGAGCTCCAGAACATTCAGCGTCCCCTGGGTGGAGATGTCCGTTGAGTGTAGTGCAATCCCCAGGGGACTGGACAACTGAGAGGGCATCATGAAGGCGCGGGGCAAATGTGGAGTGAGAAACAAACTGCAGGGCCAGGGAGGACTTCTAAACTTGCTTTTCCACCATACACGCACCCATTCCTCAAAAGCCACAGTAGATTTGGGGGCATTCAGCCTGATTTAGAAGACGGATCTTAGCCCATAGTTAGATGCAGGGTAATTTACTGAGCCAGTTAATGGAGTGTCTGAAGAGAAGGGACCTTAGGTAGTCCGAGTGGGTTGGGTCTAGAAAGGGAGAATGGTGAAGCAGTAAGCAGATGCTGGGAAATGTGTGGCTACATATATTCATGCATGTGCAAGTGAATTAAAATCCACAGTGAAATAGAATTGAAGGGAAAACTAAAACAGGACGTGGCTTTCTTTCCCATCACCCTCCTTTCTACAGTCATCTCCCTGCGGTGTGCCATGGAAGGATTGGTATGTACCCCAGGGCTTTCCTGCTCTGAGGTAAAGTTTGGTGGTAACTTTGAACAGAACGAATGTGCTAGTTTACAGAAAACTTTGTGTAACTGAGAAAGAAAGGAAGTCCATGAGTCAGAAGGGTAAGAATTGACAGATCAATTACACCATTTTGTGCTGTAATTTATCCCTCAAGGACAGAAGGACATTCTCCATGAGTGCCATCAGCCGCATCTGGAAACTTGTTAAAATACACATTCTCAAGCCCCCACCCCAGACCCACTGAATCAGAAACTAGGGGGTTGGGCCCAGCAATGTGTTTAACAAACTGTGGAACAATAAAAAATATACTTGGTCTTTGTCCCTGGTTCCAGGCATAGAGTTCCAAACACCCTCTGAATTTCCTGACTAATAGGAGTGATTTTTGCTATTCACGAATGAGCCCCTTTCAACCATACCTTAGTTTATGCTAGTGAGGTGACTGTGGGCATACCCCTAGACAGCTTCAGGATGGGGGCTGGTTTCCAGAGGAACCAACCATTTCAGCCCCAACCCTGAACCTCCACGGAGGGGAGAGGGACTGCAATGCAATCACCAATGGCCAGTGATCTAATCAACCATGCCTTCCTAATGGAACCTCCTTTAAAAATTCCTAAACAAGCCCAGCCAGGTGTGGCTCAGCGGTTGAGCATCGACCTAGGATCCAGGCTATCAGGGTTCGATTCCCAGTCAGGGCACATTCCCGGGTTGCGGGCGGCAGCCGATCAATGACTCTCTCATCATTGATGTTTCTCTCTCTCCCTCTCCCTCTCCTTTCCTCTCTCTGAAGTCAATAAAGATATATTTAAAAAAAAAAAAAAAAAATTCCTAAACAAGAGGATCTGGAGAGTTTCTAGAGGTGCCGGGCGGGTACACCTGGAGAGGGCATGGAAGCAATGTGCTTCACTCACCCATGCTTTCCTTGTACATCTCTTGCAGCAGGAGTCTTCTAACTTGTTCTTTTTCAAAATTATTTTGTACCTAAGTTCTTTGCTTTTCCATATGAAGTTTTGAATCACTGTATCAATTTCTACACTCTCAAAAATGATTCTGATTGGGATCATGCTGAATCTACAGACCAATTTGGGAAGAACTGGCATCTTAATAATACTGAGGACAGTCATGAGGACAGCATCTCCCCCCCTTACGTAAGACTGCTCTAAGTTCTCTCAGCAGCGCTCTGTAGCTGTCCACATTCAGATCGTGCAGTTCCCCAAAGCCAAACCATGAGCTACAGCCTTTGAAGAACATTCATCTGTGGGAGCAATGCAAGCACGTGTGTTCTTTATCATTCATATCATTTGGGAAGTGGTCAGATGTGGCTTCTAGCCTCATTTTAATTGGACAATATTTCTTCCTCCTTCAAAGAAAATAGGCAAATCACTTAAAGCAATTAGATAGGACACCCTCAAATTCTCCCCAGCAGATTTGCAAGTCTACCCAAATCTCCTCCCATTCTTATCAATCCCTTTGGTTACACTTGGTACCCCCCTCCTCATTCCTCCAAGGCCAACCCCTCTCCTTGTGTTTAAATCTCATCTCACCCCCTCTTACTATCTCGGGAGACACAGTACCAACTCTCCTTTTGTTCTCTGTAATCAACCACTTCCTCCCAATTGGTTTTATCTACCTACTACTTAAACATTGTCTACTCTCTCCCAACTCAAAAAAAAAAAAAAAGGAAAAGAAAGGAAAAAAAAAAAGCAAAACAGCCTCTTCCAAGGTCCCCTTCTGGCTGTTGTCTCCTTTTTCTTCCCTCCATCACAGCCAAACCTCTTGAGTTGTCTGTACTTAATGTTATTTCCCCAGGGCTCTCTCACTCTGCAGCACCCTCCAAATAAATAAGGATTCTACTCTATTACTGGTCCCAAATAACTGTCAGTAAGGTCACCAATGACCACTGTAGCAATATCAGTCAGCTATCTCAACAGTGCTCTGCAGCTCAGTGGCTTACAACAAAAGCATTTATTTGTTGACCATGTATCTGCAGGTCAGCTGAGGTTCAGCTGACAAGGGTGAGTTTGGGATTAATTCAGGTGACTTGTTTGGGTCAGATCTACTCCATGTGTCTCTCATTTGGGGGCAGGGAACAGATGTTATTAAAAGGCATATTCTTCCCATGGTGATGGCAGATCCAGAAGAGAGGGGAGCAGAAACATGCTTTGCCTCTCTGCTCTAGGCTTGGACTTATCAATTTATTACTTCCCCTCATATTCTATCGGCCAAAGCAAGTCATATGGCCGTGCCCAATATCAGCAGCTCAGGAAGTTTATTTCACCTTGAGTGGAACTGCATAACTACATGGCAAAAGGCATGGGTACGGAGAGCAGTCAAGAATCAGGAAAAATAATAAACCTGCCACAGTTACCAAATACAATGATCAGTGTCTCATGCTCACCCTGTGGAACTCAGGAGTGTTCTGCAGGAAAGGAGGACTAGTGTAGTTACAGTTCTTCCCTGGCAGCGCAGAATGGCACACTTCTCCTGGGCTTCCTTTTACCTTTCTCACTACTCCTTCTCAGTTTTAGCTTCAAGTTGTCTGTTTCCCTCATTCTCTCTGATACCCCTCCACAATGCAGCTAACTAAGGTGGCCCTTACAAAATGCAAATCAGATGATGTCACTCTCGCTTCTTTCCAAGCTCAAGGGTCACTTG